TTTCAATCATTTGATGACAAGAAAAAGTACTTAAACACACGAAAAAAAGAAAAAGAAAAAATGACAATAATAATAGAGAAAAGAAAAAGATTAAACAGATCATTTCTAATACAGAGAAAAAAAAATATTTGAATAAATGAAAAGAGACAAGAAAAATTAGAATAAAAGAAAAAAAGAGAAAATACTCTCAATTTAATATTAGTTATTTTTTCATATTACGAAAAAAAAGAAAGAAAAGAAATTCTATGATTTATTTATCGAACAGTTCTTCTTTTTGCACGACTTACATGACAGGGCATTAGAAGACAAAAGTGAAAGAAAATCAAACTAAAGATACAAGCTTATATCAGCTTGAAAAGAAAAACCATTTCATATGTTCACATATTGAACAATCTCATATATATATTCGCTATCAAAAATCTCTTCATATTAAGAGAAAGGAAAAATTATGTAAAAAGAAATAAAAAAACAGCCATTCATCTACATGTACGATGATGACTAGAAATTAAATTTAAATTGAGATCATACGTACACACAATACAAATATATGTATACAATATACATATATATTTTTTTTAAAATCCATTTGCACCGACAACACAATCAATTGGTTGATTAATTGATTGTTGTTGCATTGGATGAAAGACTGGTTGAGAAGATTTGGAATGACGTGTCACTGCTTTATGTGATGCCATACTACCAATATGAATTTTTTGCCAACAACGTTGACAGAAATAATCGAAACAAGCAAAATTTCGACAAAATAAATCACCAGCAGCTGTTTTACATAATGAACAAAATCGATATTGTAAATGTGGTTCGATTTGAAGACGTTTAAGAAAACGTGGTGTTCGAACATCAACTAAAACGGTAAAAATTAATCAATGAATGCAAAATCAAATTTTAAACATACCAAAAGCTGTTGAAACAGCATGAAGAAAACTTGAACTATTATCAAATGTTACACGACCACTACCAATTCTATATTACGAAAAAAATAAATAAAATATATTTTTTTTTGAAAAAAATATTATTTACGGATATTTATATTTATCAATGTCGACACCGGCATAAACAGCTCCACCAAATAAATCTTCCATTAAACGCCATAAATATCGAGCTGTCATTGTACCATGAAGATTACCAACGAAGATTGTTTTTTTCGAATCAAGTTGTTGAGGTGGTCTATAACAAAAAAACTATGTATTTTCTTAATATAAACAAAAAAAAGTTGAATTACCTTAATGCATAATTATTATCTCCAATATTCCATGGAATAACTTCGACAGTTTTTCTTGATCCAGTTGCTGTTTCAAAATGAATAAAATAATCAGCACATGCATTATTATTTGTATGACGTGAACAACTATCTAATAGTGCACAAACAGATTTTGCATTATGAAAAACAATATGAAAAAATCCATTTTCACGATGTTGTTCTTTATGTCCACCATGTAATTTTGGCCATTGTATTTCAAATACGCCAAAACGATCAAAATTAGCATGTATATCAGTTTCAGTTGCAAAACGTGGTACACCACCAATAAATACTTTTTGTGAAAGTAATGGTATTTGTTGTATACCATTATGATTATTATTATTACTATTATTACTATTGGAATTATTAGTTTGTTCAGTTGAAAAATCACCAATCCAATGACGAATATTTTCTGTTGAATCATCTTGTGAAGGTGACATCATTGGTAACATAGATTGTTGTTGTTGCTGTTGTTGTTGATGATTTTGTTGTTGATTTTGTTGTAAATATGGTGGTGAAATTTGTGAAACTGGTGCTAAAGATAATAACCATGGTGGTCGTGCATTTTCATCATTTATATTTGATTGATGACTTGAACTAAATGGTAATGCTTCATTTAAATTATTTAAATTAAATGGAAAAATTGATGAATTATTATGTTGTGAATTAAGATCATTAATAACAAGTTGTTGAAATGGTAATACACATGATAATGATGATGATGATGACGATGATGAAGATTGTTCAAGTGAAATTAAATTTGATGTATTACGTAAAATATAATCTTGAAATGACTTGTTTTCTTGATCGAAGATATTGTCATCTAGAATAAAAAAAAATTTTTCTAATCTTATTAAGAATTATTTTGTCAATTTACTCGAAAGATTTCCATTCAATGTTGTTGGCCATGTTGAAATAATATCTTTGGTACTATTTTTTGTTGGAAATGAAAAATCGTTGCGTGGACAGCAATTAATATCCATGATGAGAAATACACACTTAGTTTATTTAAGATAAAGATGAAATGATATGTTAAATAAGTGTGTTTATTTAAATGATTTTGCAACGAATGACTGAATGGTGTATAATTTCGTATTTACACTTGTTTCGTCAGTCTGATAAGAGAAAGAACTGTAAATAAAAGCTAGTAAAAGTTCTATCGTCCGATTTGCGTTTATAAATAAAGAATGTTTTTCTAAAACAATATAACTTTTAAAAGAGACGAGCTAGATCTACGAGAAAACGAACGAACGAGAAAAAAAATACAGAGAAAATAATGACTGAGGTCAATATATTGATTATAAACAGTCATTTGTGTTAGCTATTACGATTGAACAGACGTGTATGTCTGTGTATCCCAAGTTCAAATAGAACGCACTATGTATATTCAATCGAACATGAAAGATACAGAAAAGAAAAGAACGAAAAAGAGAAGGGAGTGGTGGGTGCAGGTGTTAAACTACAGGAAATATAGATAGTGTGAAACAATACAATAAACCAATTGAGATTGTTATACGATTTTGAAAAGATAAACAATCTTAATTGCTCTCATATTTGACCAGCGAATTTTAAATTGATTTGAATCCGGAAACGAACTTTCCTGACTGGTAAATCATGATCGATATTGAAAAAAAGACATCTCTGAAATATTTTAATTATAGCCCTTTTACATAAGTAACATGTACAAGATTATCTATTGTATCCATAATAGGTGAAAGAAAAGTTTAAGAATCTTTCATGTGCTATGTAAATGATTGTGAACAAGAAATTAATGTGAGAAAGTTCATAGGTTGATTCCGATTCATTAATAATATGACTATGTTATATTATGTGTTTGTTCGAAATTTAATAAAAGTATTTTATAATAAAAAGATATTTTTTGAATAATGTCGCCATCTACATTCATAAGAAAATACCAATCGAAAAAAGTACTTATCCAGTACAATTAATTGATATTTCGTTTATCTTATCTTTATAGCTAATCGTTAATTGTTGATTCTATGATAATTAGTACAAAGCAGATGATTGTCATGTAAACTTGAAATTTTATGAAGAGTGTATTTGTTTTTTTTTCATTAGCAATAACTGGCGGTTTTTTGAGTCCTTATAGTACTGGGTGTATTTATTTATATTTTCGTCTTTCGTTAATAAATGTAAGAAAAGAAAAGAAACGATTTATCAATGTGCTAATCGTCCATGCGTTAATTTATTTACGTTTGTAATTATGTTTTTTTCTTTAGTCATTATGATAAGCAATACTTTTCTTATATAAACCAAATGACTCTTTGATTTTTTTTCTTATTTAAAAGATTTTCTTATATAAAACAATAATGGCGACTGAAAATACAGTTACAACATTGGAACGAATGGCTAATTTACTTCGTATTCGAAGTATTGAATCTACACAAGCAGCAAATTCAGGGTTTGATAGATTAATTTTAATTATAGTTATTGATTTATTTCTATTATTATAGACATCCAACAAGTTGTGCATCGATGGCTGAAATAACAAGTACATTATTTTTTAATGTTATGCGATATGATCCACAAAACCCAAAAAATCCAGCTGCTGATCGTTTTGTTTTATCAAAGGTAAATAGAGAATATATTTAACTATTCGATTGCATAATATAATATAGGGCCATTGTGCTCCTATTCTTTATGCTGCTTGGGCCGAAGCTGGTGCATTTCCTGTAGCAGATCTCAATAGTTTACGTAAAATTGATTCAGATCTTGAAGGTCATCCAACACCTGTGAGTCATCCATCAACAAGAAAAATATCGAAATTATTTATAAAATGATCTTCTATTTTTTAGCGTTTAAATTTTATTGATGTCGCAACTGGTTCATTAGGTCAAGGTATAGGTTTTGCAGCTGGTATGGCTTACGCTGGAAAATACTTGGATAAATCAGATTATCGAGTTTATTGTGTAATGGGTGATGGTTAGTACTATCTATTTTACATATATTCAAAACTTTAACATGTGTTATTTTATTAGGTGAATGTTCTGAAGGTAGTGTTTGGGAAGCATTTTGGTTTAGTTCATTTTATAAACTTAATAATCTTTGTGGAATAATTGATGTCAATCGACTTGGACAAAGTGAAGCAACACCATTACAACATGAAATGGAAACATATCGAAAACGAGTGGATGCATTTGGGTAAATAAACAAAAACAAAAGTTCAAATGTAAAATAAAATTTTCTTCTAGATGGCATGCAATTATAGTGGATGGACAGAATGTTACTGAATTGTTAGATGCTTTTAAAGAAGCATCGACAATTAAAGATAAACCAACGTGTATTTTAGCTAAAACATTGAAAGGTGCTGGTTTAAAAGGTATTGAAAATGAATTAGATTGGCATGGTAAACCATTGGGTGATAAAGCTGCTGGTATAATTGCGGATTTAAAAAAATTAGTTAATGAAGAAACATTAATTCGACCTGAAATAGCCAAAATAACTGCAAAAGTAGCTGAGATAAAAAAATCGAAAGAAATCAAATTATCTTCACCACCAAATTATGATGGAAAAAAAGAAATAGCTACACGTCTTGCACATGGTACAGCTCTTGAAAAACTTGGTAAAAGTTGTGAACATATCATTGCACTTGATGGTGATACAAAAAATTCGACATATTCAATTAAATTTCATGTACGATATGATTTTTTTCTTTTTCAGAATAAAATTTATTATTTTATATAGGATTCATTTCCAAAACGATTCGTTGAATGTTATATTGCAGAACAAAATATGGTAGCAGTTGCAATTGGTATTGCAACTCGTCAACGATATACATGTTTTGTTCATACATTTGCTGCTTTTCTTATGCGTGCTGCTGATCAAATACGTATGGGAGCAATATCATTTACACAAGTAAAATATGTTGGTTCACATGCTGGAATATCAATTGGTGAAGATGGTCCATCACAAATGGCATTAGAAGATTTTGCATTTTTTCGTACTGTACCAAATATTGTTTGTTTTTATCCATCAGATGCAGTTTCAGCTGAACGTGCTGTTGAATTAGCTGCTAGTTATGAAGGAGCCGTTTATATACGAACAAGTCGACCTAATTTTCCAATTATATATAAAAATGATGAAGTTTTTCACATTGGACAAGCTAAGGTAAAAAGGAAAAAGAATTTTTGGTAAAAAGAATATTTTTATTTTTTCAAGATTGTTGTGGAATCGTCAGCTGATTGTTGTACAGTAGTAGCTGCGGGTGTTACATTACACGAAGCAGTTAAAGCATCGGAAATACTCAAAAAAACTGGAAAAGCTATTCGAATTATTGATATTTTTACTGTTAAACCAATTGATCGTGATACAATTCGTAAATCAGTTAATGCTACACATGATCGACTTCTTATCGTTGAAGATCATTATTTAGAAGGTGGCTTGGGTGAAGCTGTTATGGCTGCTCTTGCTGATCAACCAAATATCACAATTGCTCATTTAGCTGTACGTGAAGTTGCACGTAGTGGTAAATCAGCTGAATTATTAGATAAATATGGTATTGATGCACAACATATTGTCAATGCTATCGAACAACTTATTGAAAATAAAACATAAATAATAATTGAACTAAAGAAGAACGAAGAATTTTCAAGTTTTTTTTATTTAATTTAGCTTTTAATTTAAAATAAAATAAATTATTTTTATCTAGAATTTGATTTTCTTTTTAAGCAAAATGGAAAGATATCATATGACTGAAATTATTTCATATATCAATCAGTCACGCTGGTATCTTGCCAGATCGCTACAAAATTTTATAGATACGAACAATCATTCTTACTGAATTTATGATTTTTAAAGAATGAAAGAATAGATTTTTTTGTTTGTTCCATTATTCGTTAAAATGAAAAATGAAACTTTTGTTTTTTTATACTCGATTGAGAATCAATAATATATATTGTGTCCTACTCGAATAGCAGTAGAATGTATTTTACTGATGATGGTTTTTTTCGGATTATTTCTTCTGTCCAGTGAATATGCTTTAATGTTGTAACACATTTGACTCGAACCTATTTATGTATATAAATGTATAGATCTCAACGATAATGTAAAGTTTCGTTAATATATCCGAGAAGAATGAACGAATAATGGGACGATTACGGTACCATATTCTCTCGCCTACTCATATTTCAATATTCACTTTGTTAGAGACACATACGAACGAGAAAAATGAGAGCACTTTACATTTCATACTCTCGTTTTTTTCTTCATATATCATGAGTAGCGGCACAAAAAGAATCAAAATTTGCAATCAACACGTTTCTATTGAATATAAGAATGAAAAGTTTATTGGTAGAGTTATTATTTCGCATGATTTTGCGAATTCTGTTAGAAAGAATCTCGATACGGGCAGATAAACAAAACTGTTTATATATTTCAGTGAATAATTTTATTTATTCATCGATGAAAATAATGTTTTTTCTCTACAGTATTTGATTTTTCAGTTGCTGATCTTGTACTGGTAACTGTTGAAAGCTGAAATATAATTATAGATTAAATAATTTAAAAACTGAAATTTATACTTCGCTTATATTTGATGATGAACTGATTTGCGATGGTGACGATGACTCATGCTAAATAAAATCGATCATATTTTGTACTTTAAAGCTTTAATAATCAAATAAAAAGTTATTATTTATAATAAACATTCAGTCATTTGCAAACTATTAGATCAATGTACTTTTTGGATAAAATTCTTAGTTAGATCAAAATAGACTAACATCATAGTGATATAATTCGTAATAATCAACATTTAAATTTATTTATTCATATATTAACTATCTTCATTGAATTATATTTGATAACGATCGTTGAGTTTTTAGGTTTTACTTATCATTAAATAAAAAAAATCACTACTAGTGTAGCGGTATGATCTATTATAGATACTATGGTGGTCATCGAGCTCTATACTTTGATGCTACTAGGAACAAAGATGACGTACGGTATATTTTGTTGAGCTTGAACTAATCATTGATTTGTTATTACTAGTTAATTCATTACTTAAACTTGTACCGATTTTATATTCAAGTTTAATTGCATCAGGTGTTAATGATGCCCGTTGTGAAAAATAATCTTGTAAAATTTCTCGTTGTTGAAAACCCATCATTTTATAAAAATTAATTCCATGAATATTTGTTGATTCAACATATGCATAGATTTGTATAATATTTTCTAATTGTTTACATGTTTCAATTGTTTGTAATAGAAGATATTTACCAATATTAATAGCATGGATACTTTGATCATCTTCGACAAGCATTAAGATTTTTAATTGACGTTTTTGATTAGAATCAAATATAGATGATGCTAAAATAGCAGCATAAATTTTTAATTTACAACAATATTTTGTACGATATGCAGTTTTTGATATATCGGAAGCATCGTATACACGTTGAAATGTTTCACGATTAAATGCTAATGGAAATGCTTTACGAAAAAAATGAAATAAATGTTTAAAACCCACATCTTCTTTCGAACCATAATGAAGATGAATAGATGATGTAGAATTTTTAGCAGATAAATGATGTGTGTTCAAACGAATAGACATCGTTAAGAATAAACCAAATCTGCATCTTGGTAATATAAATATCAGAAGAGAAACTAATTTATTTATGCGCTAAAATTTTTTATTTTCACTTTTCTGAAAAGTACTGTTAAAGATTTTTCAATATAATTCCAAGCACAGTACTTATATAATCTATTGTAAAAGTTTTATGTCGCTATAATAAGTAACACACGTATATCTCGACCAGTATCAATACAGTTTACATGAAATCTGAGTGTAATAATTTCTATATAACTGATCGAGAGATTTTAACAAATTTTCTTCCGAAAATTCTAATATTAGGAATGCTTTTTGCTGCAGTGGTATATTCATCTTTATGTCACTTGATTCCTATTGTACTCTCACATAATTATTTTATTTTTCACATGTAAATTTATTGTTCCCGTTAGGATTAACAGACACAAGCATGAAGAAATAAGAATAATGAGATACATGTCTTTTTTCAAAAATTTTCTTTCTTTCACTTGTCGGCTTCTCTTCAGAACGAACTCTCACATAATTATATGCGGCATGTTCTTTACTAATTCTATTTTGCATTCTACAATTATATTTCTAGTAATAATAAGTTGCGAAAAATAGCATAGATGATAATCAGTAGTTATACTTATTATAGATATTTGATGATTTCTGTTTGAAAAGTTGATAAGAAGTAAGAGAAAACATAATAACTGATCTACTTTCCGGTATCATCTTTGTTTATTTTTCACAAAGACTAACAGTATTATTGATATTATTGATGTTCAGAAATGATGAGAAGAATTTCAAGTGTAATGCAAAACAAATATAATCAATGTCGAGTTTTCCACTGATTCCATATAGACATCAGAGGCCATCATCATATAGAGTCAATAGTTGAGTTTAATTATGAAAAAGGCAAAGGACTCAACAGATCTGTAAAATGACTTATATTTAATTACGATTCTGATTACTGCTAAAATTGTCTAATGTCATACGTATTAAGAATAAGACATCGTGTATCTATAATATTATATTATTACTCCATAATAAAGTTATAATCGCTGAATACTCTAAAACTTAATAAATTCATAGATTAAATAAAAAGAACAACATTTAGTGTTACAACAGTACATTATGTTTGCAACAATCTAGTATTCATCCAATGTACGATATATTAATTATCATTATTATATAAACTATTAAATTTTAAGTAAGATGAACTTGTTGCCATACTATATATATATACTTCTTGTTGATGTTAACATCATTGAATCATAGTCTATTTATATTAGAAGGAAAGGATCAAGGTGCCAAAACAATTCTGTTATATGAGAGTCTTCGATGAAAATACATTAGGAACCGGATGTTCCTTATTGACTAATACAAAATTTGTTTTCCTTATCGTAGCTGTAAATAACTATCTTCCAGGCACGATTTAATAAACGCCATCGCGTGATAAGATTAGAATGCACTCTAACGATCTATCTGCAGATTTCTCACGCTATAATAAATAAATTTTATATAATGATTGTTGACTATTATATGAAAGAAGGTATTTCAAGGATGAAGATATTTTTTTATCGTTATTGTTCATTTTTGAAGCTATTTCGATGACAACCGGTACTCTATAACATAAATTACACAAGCGGAAGTAAATTGAGTGCAATGCAATTATATAAAATTGTTATTTTTCATACAAACTATAATAATATTAAGTTATGTTACGACGAAAACTCTCAACAAAAATAATAATATTATTTACTTCGTGTTATAAAAAAAGGTTTGTAGTAAAATTCATTACTATTGTAAACTTTTTTTTGTCTTTTGATATATTTAATTCTGTTTAGTTTCTAAGCTGAGCAAATCTGTTTCTCGTGTTTTTTCTATTTAATATTAATAAGTCATATTATAAATATAGAGTATAAAATTTTTTTAATAACTAATTTGTATCCATTCACGAGATTGAATATTCTTTTTAATACGTCATAAAATATAACCTATATAGTTTTAGTATGAGCAGATGAATAAAGAAAGGTCACAGAAAGTTTATCAATTCTGAGATAAGAACGGAAATTAATCAGTTGCTAACAACTAATATTTATTCTTTTGAAAGAACGAAAACGAATATTTCTCAATAATTAATCGAAAAAAAAATTTCAGGTGTAGATGAGGGATTTCTACTTTCCCACTATATTGTTTTCGACATGTCTACCTTCTAATATTTGCATCATATGTACTTTCGATATTTTGATTTCCAACGTTAGTCAGGCGAATAATTTGAATGATTAATTTTAAGGCGTGAATATTTGTTTATTTCATCATTTAATATTACTTTAGCTTCCTTTTTCCTATGACTATTTAGTGACGACATAAATCAAAATTATCTCCTTACCTTTATGTGATTCACAAAAAAATATCATTAAATTATCAAAACAACAAAGACACGCCTAGGCTTTAAGCATATCACACTTTCATCGTTTCTATTGTATATAATAGTGATACATTTTAGGTGTCTTGCTATTTGATAACATTCCTTATTTATTCGTTACTTTACGACATCATACATTACAATGCTTCGAGGACTTTTTATCATTTTCTTGTTATCAAGTACTGTTTCATCTAATCAATGGAATTACGGTCAACTTGGTCCAGATATATGGAGTGATTATTATCCATTATGTGCTGGTAATTCGCAATCACCCATAAATATTTTAACTGCTTGTACAAAATATAGAAACTTGAAACCATTTCAATTAACATCATCATACGATGAAAAACATTATTTTACATTAAGAAATAATGGACATACAGTTATTGGTATTATTAATCAAGAATATAAACAATCACCTCTTGTAATAGCTGGTGGTGGTTTAAATGGAACATTTGAATTTGTTAATTTTCATTTACATTGGGGAGAAAATTATAAATCAGGCAGTGAACATCAAATGTAAATAAAAAAAAGGAAAATTTATGAAATATATTTATTTCAATTGTTTTAGAAATGGTATTAAATATGCTGGGGAAATACATTTTGTCTATTTAAACCGTTTAACCTCACAAATGGCTGTCCTTGGAATATTTATGCAAAGTTATGCAGATAGTGAAGCAATTCAACTTGATGAAAATAATAAAACACGTCAAGAATGGCAGAGATATTTTGATATAACACAAACATTAAAATCTGAAAATGATTCAACGGTATTTAATTTAAATTTTCGATCGCTTATCGGTGATAATTTAGCGGATTTTTGGAGATATCAAGGTTCATTGACAACACCCCCATGTTCAGAAGGTGTTATCTGGACAATATTCAAACAGCCAATTGTGTTTTTAGAAACTCAATTTCGAACATTAAGAGATAATATTTATTTCGAAGATTATCGTGGTCCTCAACCCTTATATAATCGAACTGTTTATCGAAATTTTCACAATGAAACATTATCATCAATACCGGACTATAATCGTTGTTTATTAGATTCACAAAATGAAAAACTTAAAGATAAATCTTTAGTATTTGGTCTAATACATTGTTCGACACATTCATTTTTCTTATTTCTTTTATGTTTTTATTCATTAATAATATTTGCAGTATTTATTTTTTTTAAATTTCGTTATTCAATTTGGAAAAAAAAATTTGAATAAATATTTAACTAGGAAACAAATAACATACTTTTACTCCTATAAATATCTTTGCGCTGCATAATTGTGATTTTATACTGTGTTAGTTTTCGTTTTTCGTATAGTTCAAAGCGTTAGTTATGTGTTAAAATTATTTTATTGTAATTAATCATTATAATATTTTGATAAATAGAAAACACCTTAGCCTTAGGTATTTAAACGATGTGACATACATTTATTACACTCTACATTGTCATTGTCTCGTTTTTTTTTGTTGGTATAAAAGGTGGCTAGACTTTTTTTTCTAAAATAAATTTTACCTATTGAATACTTCTTTTTCTAATAATTAATATGATAATATATCCGATAACTTCTTTACTATTAATATTTATGATTAATGGTGAGCATACTCATGATTGGAATTATGATGAATTTGGACCTGATGTATGGAGTGAAAAATATCCTACCTGTGGTGGTCAGCTACAATCACCAATAAATATTTTAACAGCATGTACAGTTCATAAAAATTTTACATCATTTATATTTGCATCTGGTTATAATGAACAACATAATTTTACACTTACAAATAATGGACATACAATTATTGGTACATTTAATAATGAACCTAAATTATCAGCGTTTAGAGTTATGGGTGGTGATTTAAATGGAATATTTGAATTTGTTAATTTTCATTTGCACTGGGGAGAAAATCATAAATCAGGCAGTGAACATGAAGTGTAAATATATAGATTAAATATCTTTGTTTTTTATTTTTTCTTTACTATAGAAATGGTAATCAATATCCAGGTGAAATTCATTTTGTCTATAGAAATTCAATTACAAATCAAACAGCTGTACTTGGTATATTTATGAAAAGTGTATTTTTTAATAATGAAACAGAAAATTATACAACTCATTCAATTAATGAAGATACAAGAGCAGAATGGCAAAGATTTTTTAATATAGCACAAAACTTAGAAGAAGAAGATGATTCAGCAGTCATGAATTTAAATTTTCAATTACTTATGGGTGGAAATTTACGAGATTTTTGGAGATATGAAGGTTCATTAACGACACCCCCGTGTACAGAAGGTATAATATGGACAATATTTAAAGAACCAATTATATTTGTTGAGAGTGAATTTAAAATCTTTCGACAAAATATATATTTCGAAGATTATCGTCGCCCACAACCATTATATACACGAGCAATTTATCGAAATTTTCATAATGAAACATTATCGACAGTACCAGACTATAATTGTTGTCAAGGAAAAGCTATTAATACAGTTCCCAATGAATTAAAATCTTCATCGAAAACATTTTTTCATTCTACATATTTAATTTTTTTCTTCGTTTTTATTATTTCATTAAAAAATAAATAGGAATAAGATTGTTCCTGATATATATCCCAAATCAGCTGTTTCTTAATATATTATTCGATTTCTAATGTTTATTTGATATATTTTCGAATGACTATTTATATTAAATGAAGTATACATAAATACATAATAAATAGTTATTATTGGAATGATGGATTTTTATGACGAAAGGATTACTTCAATTGATTTGTCCTTTTTTTCTGTTGAACTCAGGTCAATATAATTACGATCAGACTACTAGTTCGAGTAAATATTGACAATGATAGTTTTACGAACTCTTTTGATTAGTATGACGTACAAAAAGATATAATATTAACATTGAATGTACAATAAATTAACTATTAATTACATTTCAATGAGTAAGTAAATATAAAAATAAGGCGTATTCTTTCAATATACATATGTAAAAGTTATGACTAATTTGTAATAAAGTCGCAAATCAGAAACGTTTGCTTACACTACTTCCTTTTTTACTCAATAGAACTGTTTATGATTATTCAAATTTGAAATACGTATTACATTAATGACTCATAACTTCAAATTAAGAAAAGAAGTAATATTATGTGTTATGATGAAACGGAAGAAAAAAAGTACAAACGATTCAAGGTCAATAAAAATAACTCCCCCAATACTAGTATTAAGAAATTTGAGGTATTCAAGTAAGCATATGTTTCAAAAATAGATTATTTAATAATAAATGGTTTTTTCCTTCATATTAATTAATGCATACTACGTAAGTATATTTTTCTCTCTCACCAGTCATTGATATATAAATTCGTTTGGATTCTCTCATATTTTGTATATTAGTAAACAGATTTTCATCGAAGGTATATACCGTGTCTCTTGAATTTTGAAATAAAATATGTATTGTACATTATTCAATACTATTGTTTTGTTTGCAATTATTCATCAATTGATAGCTTCTGAATGGAACTATGGTAGCGAAGGACCAGATGTTTGGAGTGATATAAATCCATTATGTGCCGGGCATTCTCAATCTCCAATCAGCATTACAACAGCATGTACAGCGTACAAAAAATTCTCACCTTTTGCATTTTCAAAAGCTTACAGTGAAGCACAAAATTTCAAAATTATAAACACTGGTCATACTATAAGCGGTACATACACAGGCAGTGATTCATCAATCTTTACATTAACTGGAGGTGATTTAACTGGGTCATACGTATTTTCTAGTTTTCATCTTCATTGGGGTGAAAATTATAAATCAGGAAGTGAACATCAAATGTAAGTTTAACATTCATTTACTATCTATATATGTAATAGTATGTATATTTATTTAGAAATGGAGAAAAATATGCCGGTGAAGTACATTTCATACATATCGATCCAACGACAGGACAAACAGCTGTACTTGGAATGTTTATACAAAGTAAAATTCAGGCTATTACAGTAGAATCAAGAAAACGAAAGCGTGATCCTTCAACCACCACCACTGCAATTCCAACATCAACAGAATGGGATAAATATCTTTTAGCAGCTGAAACATTACAAGAAGTTAATGAATCAGTTGTCGTTAGTTTAAATTTAGCATCATTATTTACTGGTGATTTAAACACATTCTGGCGTTATACAGGTTCATTAACAACACCTCCCTGTACTGAAGGTATTATTTGGACTATATTTAAACAACCTATTGCTGTAAATGATAATCAACTTGTACTTTTACGAAATAATCTTTATACAAAAGATTATCGTGGCCCTCAACCATTATACAGTCGATTGGTATATCGAAGTTTTCCAATTGAAGCATCATCATCAATAGCTGATTATATGTGTTGTTGGAAAAAGAACTAATTAAAAAAATTAAAGTTCTTTTTTTTGTTTATTTATTCACGAGAAAAAAAATCTTAAGGTTTCTGATACCACATTTTTCATATTAATTAAGAAATATACGATATTTTCATCGAATATCACATGACAGTATTTAAATAAAATTTATACAAATAAATCAAATGAAATAACTAACTAAACTCATGCAAAAGAACCTTTAAAGAATTAATAAAATATTTACATTTAATCATGTTGTTTTTCATTAAAATAAAAAACTATAAGCGAAACAATAAATACTGAAGAAAAACGAAAATTTATCTTAAAAACATATCAATTGTAATTATTATAATATTGACAACGTAAACGTCATACTAGATTAATCAAGTATTGTTTTTATTCAAACGTCTAATATTTGCGAACGTATAATTTGAGTAGTCATTTATCTTCTATTGAATATAATACAAACATTATTCAATAGAATAATTATTTCTACAAACATTTTATAGAAAAATATTCAATATATCATTATAAGTAATATTAAATCATAAATATTATCACACCAAAGAAAGAAATAAAATACCTGATTAATTACAATTTTTTCATTATAATAATCGATCGATTAATCTATTTGATTCTTGCAATTAATTTTCAAAGTATTAGATATATTAAATAAAACATAACATTTTATTTATAAATTCAAGTGAAAATATAAATAATTTGAAATTTTTTTCAGTTATGTTCTGTTAAACTATAATTGATTAATAATACTATTTCAAGGATACTGACTAGAAAATATGCGTAATAAATAAGTTATACAATGAATTATTATTATTTAGTTTAAGAAATTGATGCATTATGTATTTTTATTTCAAACAGTAAATCAAAAGAGAAAAATTTCTATTTTGACAAAGATATGATATAGCCGGGTTCTTAAATGTTGTGCACAACGAAACTTAAAGTGCGCAACTTTCGGTACGCAACTCTCCGTGCGCAGCATTCGTACAGCTCCGCTCTTAGTGACATACATTTTAAATTTACCATTAACTAATAAAACTGTATTTAGAAATCAAAAAAAAATATCAATATTAGACCGTTCTAAATGACTAATTCATAAACTTTTGATTGTTTTGAGACAATTAGATACAACCCACGTGTAACCATACGTGAAAATTACCTTATCCAGGTGAATATATATATTCAAAAGCTATTAACAATTGATAATTTATTTTTCATACAAACCAACTGATGTGTATCAACTGCCTCATATTTTGACGAAAACAGACAGTTATTTATTTCAATAACAGATATATAAACTAGTGTAATTTTCTTTCGACGATATATACTTTTTATCTTGAGTGTTAAAACGCAATGTATCTTTCAAGATCCAGTTTTATTTTACTATGTATTATTATTCAACAGTCTATGGCTTCCGACTGGAATTATGCTGACGAAGGACCAGATGTTTGGAGTGATCTATATCCAGCATGCGCTGGAACTTCACAATCACCAATTAATATTGATACAACCACTACAGACTATCTAGCATTTACAACATTGTATTTAGGATCATCTTATAATGTACCACTAAATTTTCAATTTATAAACAATGGTCATACTATTGTCGGTACATATACAGGCAGCGATACATCCAATTTCGTATTCATTGGCGGTGGTCTAAGAGGAACATTTACATTTTCTAGTTTTCATCTTCACTGGGGTGAAAACTATAAATCAGGAAGTGAACATCAAGTGTAAGTTAAACATTATTTTGATTAACTGTACACCATTATAATATCGTATTCTGTGTAGAAATGGAGCAAAATATTCAGGTGAACTTCATGTCATTCATAGAAATCAAGCTACAAATCAAACAGCTGTACTTGGAATGTTCATACAAAGTTTAAAACAAGCTAATACAACACATACGGAATTACGAAAGCGTGATACTTCAACCACCGGAAATGTAACATCAGCAGAATGGATAAAATATCTTTCAGCAATTGGACAATTAAATCAAGTTAATCAAACAGTTGCACTGAATTTGACTTTAGGATCGTTATTCACTAGCGATACAACTAAATACTGGCGTTATTCAGGCTCATTAACAACACCTCCATGCACCGAAGGTATTATTTGGACTGTATTTGGAGAGCCCATAGTTGTTAGTGAAGATTATTTTGATCTTCTACGAGATAATATCTATGCAAAAGATTATCGCAGTCCTCAACCAATAAATGGACGATCAGTATTTCGAAGTTATCCATATGAATCATCATCAGCACCAAATTCTATTTTTTCTTCGAAAAAAACTTATTATATCATTATTTATTTATCTATTTATGTGTTCATTTATTTATTTATTTAATTGTTATTTAAGTTTAGACGTTTTTCCGATATAAGATTTTTTTTTCTTTTTTAACTTCATTGTTTTTATATAGATTCAAAAAATGTGTGTCACAATAACCGTATATTAAATAAAATTTATTTAAACAAAAATAATATATACAATCTTGTAAACTTAAGAAATGAACAAGTTGATATAAAAGAATATTTATTGATCTATATAATGGTGTAAGAAATATAGGATCCAGATGTGCTGATAACTATACACCAACGAGCTTGTTCATACAGAAATTCCCTCTGATCATTAGAATAGATATCGACGATTGCAATAACAATACATAAAAGTTCTCGTTTGATATCATGCTGTGATTGTGTTTATTAGAGATAATTACAAAAATCCATCTGTTCGATATTAAATTTGTTTTGTTTCAGGAGTATATTCTGCATTTGGTAAATATTCAATATCACAATCATTATAAATGACACGAACAAATTGTATGATTATATCAAATGATGGATAGTGGCTTAAACTTTCCGAAATATTCATAATTTAGATCATTTATATATTTTTCGATAACTTCAAAAAGCAACTATAGCTGACCAGGGAAACATCCTCAAGAGCTCCAATAATTTGTCCAGTATCGGAAAGTGTAAAGCTCATATTTTTATGATAATTTCTTTTTACGCTGAACTACAGTAGAATTGAATAGCAAATTCGTAATTTAACCATTGAGTTACTGAGTATAATGGTTTAAAATTTCATTCCTTATCGTTCAATATAGATAATGTTTGAAAAATAAATATATCTTACATCATTTCTTAATATGAGAATAGTTCTATCTTGACTAGATTTTATACGAAAAAAATGATTTCTCATTGTAATCAGTTTTATAACTACAAAAAACGTGTCAAAACAGTTACTTTCTTTATTACGTATTTAATATTATTGAAGAAATTACGGTCACTATGCAATGAACCAAAGACCTTAGAAGAATATTTATTATTCGAAATAATATGACAAGAAAATTACATTTTCTTTATGATAATAGGCAATATCCAATTATCGATGATTACATTTCTGTTTACTTATTGTTTGAATAATAAGCCAATATTCTATGCATACCATTCATTATTTTATTTTATTTTCGTTTTTCACCTGAATAATAACATGTATATCATGTCTTTCTTGGGTGCATTTATTGGTTGAAAACCTACCTTTACATATTTGTATTAAATAACAAATAAATATTTGTAGAAATCGAAAAAAATAGTGATAATTTGAATTCAAAATTTAATATTATTATAATTTTTTTTTTCATTTATAATTCAATAACTAAAATAAACTATTTATGATGAACATAAAATAATCCTATTAATCTTTAATAAATTATTTATAATTTCTAAAATTGTTGCTATGAACCACATGATTAACGATCCCCTATACCAATTTATTTATTTATATAATTGATATCCAATATATTTCCATACTTCAAATCGCAGAGGAATAAATATTAAATAATTTTGGTAGTATACCTATCAATATAAAACTTAAACTCGATCTGTATGAAAGCATGGTATATTTAATTAAAACCTAGTTACAAAATATTTTTAGGTTTTTTATTTAAATAAATTTCTACAGATATCAGAAACAGAAACTTCTATTATGAGCATTATTATCTGTTATACTATTCGTCAGATATCTAGTTTCATGATTATGATATATGTTACAGTCATTCGACATGAGAAAACCTTGAGAGAAATGTTTATTATTCGAAAATATAAAACAGTTGTCTTGTTTTTTTATTAGAATAATAGGAGACATAAAACCTTGAACAGTGATATTTTTGTTTGTTTGTTTATACTTAAAATAACAACATAAATCCGAAATACTGATCTGTAGTATTTTGCCTTTGTTTTTATCTTTTCAGGCGTTGTACTAGCATCAATAGTATATCGGTTTTTTTAAAAAACACAAATCGAATGATGACTTACGTGGTGTGCCAGATAGAACTCGACGAGCTCTACCAAACGGTATGCTTAGATTTTGTACCAACTTCAGAGAACGTTTTGTAGTTATCAAAAACCCTTTTTTCTCCACCGAAACAATTTCATAAAAATTGTATTTCCTAAAATTCTTTGATCTCTCGCTCTCTAAAACTTACAAACAAACATGTATTCCTATGCATCTCGACTTGCTCTATCGATTGATATACTCTTTTACACCTTTCAACTAACAATTACAACACACTTGCATGAAAAATGTCGAAAATCACCATTTTAGCATATATTTCATATGTATATTCACTCTGCAACGAGTGATATATTTGAAGCCGATTTCACTTGAGTCAAGATAAAAAACTCCATTAAGTGAAGTATATATTACCTTCGACACAGATTCATATATAAATCTGCTGTGAGAATATTTATTAAAACACATTTATTTACGTTTTGAGTTCATATTATTGAAATATCGATGCAGATGATACTCATTTATATTTACGTCGATAGAAAAAAGTAAGATCTAGCAAGTGATATGTATACCACCTTTGGTACAAATTGCAGCAAGAACTTCGAATGTACATTTTTAATAATTAGCACACCTGTTAAGTGTACGAGGGACTACGATTCGAAAAGGATTATAAATATAAACAAATCATACTTCATTTTAGAATCAATTTTATTTGAAATGATAGAATTATATAAGATTTGGTGAATTTTTAAGGGTTATACTGAATGCATTCATATTTATGACTTATAAGTTGAGTAGATGACGCTATAATATGCATGAGAGATTTGGAAAAGGTTTTAAGCTCATTTTATCGATTGAAATATATTGAATTACACATCATTCGATGGAGTATTTCATTTTGAGTCAAATAAAATCGGCTTCAAATGTGGTACAAGTTGCAGAATGAATATATATATGAAATATATGATAAAATGGTGATTTTCGACATTTTCCATGCAACTGTATTGAAATTGTTAGTTAAAAGGTGTACAGGAGCATATCAATCGATAGACCAAGTCGAGATGCATAGGAATACATGTTTGTTTGTAAATTCTAGAGCGAGAGATGGAATAATTTTAGGAAGTACAGTTTTTATGAAATTATTCCTATGGACAAAAAAGAGTTTTTGATAACTATGATACGTTATGTGAAGTTGGTACAAAATTTAAGTATACTGTTTGATAGAGCTCGTGGACTTTTACCTAGCACACAACAAATGGTAGGTAGCACACCTTGTCAGGTGAATCGGTATAAGAAAAACTCGAATCCGCAGCTAACTTCATGTTCATGTTTTCACTGAACCTTTGTGATATCTCTTTAATAGAACTTTGTTTTTGAAAGTAGATTTTTCTACCTTTTCCCATAGTCTCAACGTTACTCAGCAAATGATTCAAATCAATTTGATTAATCTGTATCGTTTAGTTTTGTCAACCTTTTCTTTATTGATAAATACAAGTAAAAATATAAATAATTTAAAAAAAAATTTCCGTTATATTTCGTTGAACTATAATTGATTCGTAATACTATTTCAAGGATACTGACTAGAAAATATGCATAATAAATAAGTTACACCATGAATTATTATTATTTAATTTAAGAAATTGATGCATAATTTATTTTCATTTCAAACAGTAAATCAAAAGAGAAAAATTCCTATTTTGACAAAGATATGATAAAATCAGGATTCTGAATGTTATGCAGCATTCGTACACCCCTGTTCTTGATGACGTACATTTTAAATTTACGTTTAATTAATAAAATAATCTTTAAAATCGAAAAATATATCAGTATTAGACCGCTCTAAATGACTAATCCAAAAAGTTTGATTATTTTGAGACAAATATATACAATCCACGTGTAACAATAGATGAAAATTACCCTATACAGGTGAATATATATATTCAAAAGCTATAAACGATTGATAATTTATTTTTCATACAAACCAATTCATGTGTAACAATTGCTTTATATTTTGATGAAAATAGACAGTTATTCAGTTCGATAACTGATGTATAAACTATTGTAATTTTCTTGTTAAGACATACACACTTTTTTATCTTGTGTGTTAAAACACGATATGCATCTTTCAAGATCCAGTTTTATCTTATTATGTATTATTATTCAATATTCTATTGCTGCTCATTGGAACTATGCTGACGAAGGACCGGATGTTTGGAGTGATCTATATCCAGAATGCGATGGAACTTCACAATCACCAATTGATATTGATACAACCACCACAGTCTATGCACCACTTACAAAATTTTATTTTGGATCATCTTATAATGTACCACAAAATTTTCTGTTTATGAACAATGGTCATACTCTTGTTGGACATTATACAGGTAACGATGCATCCAGGCTCTCATTTACTGGTGGTGGCCTAAAAGGAGTATTTACATTTTCTAGTTTTCATCTTCATTGGGGTGAGAACTATAAATCAGGAAGTGAGCATCAAGTGTAAGTTAAACATTATTTAATTAACTTTACATTGTTATAGTATTGAATTGTATATAGAAATGGAGCAAAATATTCAGGTGAAATTCATGTTATTCACACCAATCGAGCTACAAACCAAACAGCTGTACTTGGAATGTTCATACAGAGTATAAAACAGGTTAGTAGAACACATAGGAAATTACGAAATCTTGATACTTCAACTACTGGAAATGTAACATCAGCAGAATGGATAAAGTATCTTTCAACAGTTGGACAATTAAAGCAAGTTGGTCAACCAGTTGCACTCAATTTGACTTTAGGATCATTATTCACTAGTAATACAAAGAAATATTGGCGCTATTCAGGTTCATTAACAACACCTCCATGCACTGAAGGTATTATTTGGACTATATTTAGAAAGCCCATTATTGTTAGTGAAGATTATTTTGGTCTTCTGCGAAATAATATCTATGCAAAAGATTATCGCAGTCCTCAACCAATTAATGAACGGACAGTATTTCGAAGTTATCCATACGAATCATGAACATTACCTCATTCTATTTTTTCTACCAAAAAATTTATAATATCATTATTTATTTATCTATTTAATTGTCATTTAAGTTTAGACGTTTTTTTGGTATTAGAGTTTTGTTTTTTTGACTTCATATTGAATAAAATTTATTTAAACAAAAATAATATATATAATGTTATAAACTAGAGAAATGACCAAGTTCATGTAAAAGAATATTTATAGAACATCGAAAAATAGTTCTATGCTATTCACAAGTTAATGGAATATTTATTGATTTATATAATGGGATAAGAAATATAGGGTTCAAATGTGCTAATAAGTACACATGAACGGGCTTGTCCATACAATACTAATATAATGTCTTTTTCATTTATAATTCAATAACTAAAATAAACTATTTATGATGAATATAAAATAATCCTATTAATTTTCTTTTGTCTTATTCAAAACCAAGAAACTCGATCGAAATGAAACTATAATATATTTAATTAAAACCTAGTTACAAAATACTTTTTTGTTTTTTTTATTTAAATTTAATTGTACAGATAACAAAAACAGAATCTTCCATTACACCAAGTATTATTCTTAATACTGTTCGTCAAATATTTACTTTCATGACTAAGATATATATAAATCAGTCATTCAACATGACAAAACCTTGAGAATAATATTTTTATTCGAAAACATAAAATAATTGTCTTGTTTTTTTATTAGAATAATAGGAGACATAAAACATTCTACAGTGATCTTTGTTTGTTTGTTTATACTTCGAATAACAACATAAATGTGAGAATACTGATCTGTATTGCTTTCGCCTTTGTTTTTTTATTTTTTCGGGCGTTATACTATCATCAATACTGTTTCGATTTTCTTAAAAAAACGCAAATCAAATGATGACTTATATAAACACGTTGATATTAAAAAATAACGTAAAAATACCCTTAATTTGCAAGTTAAAGTACAATATGAACATTATCGATATACAAATTATCGAAAACCTTTCAAGGATTTTGATTAGTAGTCTCGTGTTTGTGGATCATATATTTCGTTCGATTATCCAATAGATATTGTATAGAGCGATGATTAATAGTATTTATGAAATAATAATAGTGGTTGCAGAAAATGTATTGCAGATGAAATAAATGTAACTTGATTAATGATTTTTGTTTATATCCTTATATTTTTCCTTATCTTTTTCTTTTGTACAATATTGACGATTTCATAATGGATCAATATGAAGGTCTAATTAATATTAAAACTATATGAATTAATCAGGATTGTTTTTATCTAACTATCTTGGAATATTTTTGATTATATCTGAATTGATTTAATCAATTAACATATAAGTTTCACAAATAAAATATTTTTTTTTATGTTTACTCTCTAAATATACATGAATCATGTATATTGATTTAGAAGAACTAAAAATAATGTATAATTTAACGTCAATTGTATTCACTGTATTATTTATCAAGATACTATTTAAATGTGTTAAAGTGCAATAACAAATTTCGATTATTTGACAGTTTTGATTAATAAAAAACACTAAAAGTACGTATAACAACCTTTTAACTATGTACTTTGACGCAAAAACAATAAAAAGAACTGATAAAATTTGAAATTTAACGCAGCAGTTCTTTTCTTTTTCAATTCCTTAATTTAAAGTAGTTCTTTTAGAATACTAGTCACGTTAAACAACAATACATGATTTAATCATACAATAAAATTCAATAACTGGCAGGTGCAATATATTAACTAACTAGTTCTCCCTATAATTAAAGTAATGACAAGATTCCCATACAAATCCTATTGTATGTATAGAATATAGGATCAACGACGTCAATACGAATAAAACCTTAAATGGTATATATTTTGTATTTATCATGCCATTTGTAATCTTTAACTTATTATATTTGACTATTCTTCCTTCAACTATCGTTTCTACATGGAATTATGGTGAATTAGGACCTGATGTATGGAGTGATCAATATCCTTTATGTATTGGACATTCTCAATCACCAATTGACATAAAAACAGCATGTACCATTTATCAATCGTTTATACCTTTCCATTTTTCCGAAGATTATAATAATTCATATGATTTTACAGTTGTAAATAATGGTCATACTATACTTACTAAATATTCTGGAAATATTTTACCATCTCTTACAGTAACAGGTGGCGGTTTAAATGGAACATTTGAATTTTTGAATTTTCATCTTCATTGGGGTGAAAATTATAAATCTGGTAGTGAACATCAAGTGTAAATAAAGATTTTCTTCGATGTTTTATTGTTATTCTCTCATTTAGAAATAGCGAAAAATATGCTGGTGAAATTCATTTCGTCTATATTAATCCTCAAACATATCAATTAGCTGTTCTTGGAATATTTATGCACAGCAATCGAGATATTCATACAGATCATCAAAGGAAACGACGAGACTATTCTAACACGAAAAAGAATACATTAGATGAATGGGAAACATTTTTTTCCATAGCTGGTACATTGCAACAGGCAGATATGTCAGTTATACTTAGTTTAAATTTAGCAATATTAATGGGTACGAATTTGAATGATTTTTGGAGGTATAGAGGTTCTTTAACAGTACCTCCATGTACAGAAGATATTATTTGGACTGTATTTAAAACTCCTATTGTATTTACTGAAAATGAATTGAATATTTTTCGAAAAAAACTTTTTTTTCATGATTATCGTAATCCACAACCATTGTATAATCGAACTGTATATCGAAACTTTGTAAATGAAGAATTATTGTCAGCAGTTGATTATAATTGTTGTTTGAAATCTATACCCAATGGAGCAAATACTCGTAATATAGCATTATTAAGTAAAATCACTCTTTTATTTATTTTAGTTCATTGAATATACTAGACTTTTTATTTCAATATATGAAAGACAAATATCTGATTTTGTTTAATTTTATGTTGCTAAAATATATAATAAATGACAGTTATTTTGTAATTAATTGTTCACACATTTTGTTAAGTATCTTGACTAATCCTAGAGTATTATGTTGTTGTTGTAGATATTTAATGAATAATGGATAAAATAATTGATGGTATAAATTTGGATTTATATATTGTCGACCTTGAAGAACAGTAAATAAACTATGAGTATTCATTAATAAATTATTTGTTATATTAATTTCTTTTTTACGTCGTTCTAATCCTATATTGATTAAATCAATAAGTTGATATCGAGTAAATGAAGTCCAATCAGTACGCCACCATACACTAAGACCATAGAAATTAAGATTTGAAGATCGATGAAAATGATATGTATCAAACGTTTTAGTACATTGAGCAGTTAAATAATAAAGTGTATATTCAGTCCACATACGATCGAAAATAACTCGCCATAAAGCCCAATTAGCTAATTTATTTAAAAATCTCCTATGACCTTTGCAAATAAATTCAGCATTTAAAAAATAAAATCTAGAAAAAAAAAACTTACCATAAAGTATTTGTAATCGACATAAAGTTCTTAATGCAATTGTTCTTGATAAAATAATTGGTGTGACACCAATAGTTGGTGATAATGGATCATTTGAAACGCATGTATTTGGTTTTATTTTAAGTAATTGTTCACTTTCTAACCACCATTTTATTCTATCAGATCGATCTTCAATTTGATATAAAGCTTTATATAATGGTAAACTTTTATTGACGTTCGATTGCCATAATAATTGTTCGACATGTATTGGCCATATAGCAACACAATCTGAATCAAGTAACATATAGTATTCAGTTTTAATTATTTGTGAAACAACTAATTTAAATATCATTTGTAAACGATATGAATCTGTATTAATATGTTTTAATAGATGATCATCAGGTATTATTGATAATGGCCATGGCCAATGATTAGTTTGTCGATCAGAAAGAAACGGTTCTAATATATGAACATCTTTTAGTGGAGTAAGAAATATAACTTCAAAAATACGATGAGAATCAAGATGACATGCTAGTGCAGCTAATGTTAATGGTAAACGTTTAAATTCCGGTTGTGCTGTAACAATTACAATAGTTAAACGACTATCTTGTTTAGCATAATCATCATTGTTCGATTGTAAAACATCTGGCCAATCGTGTGAAGTACATTTTAATGATTGTACAAGTTGAACATCAGTTAACCATGGAATATGGAAATGTGATTGAAAAATAAACTTTGGTCGACCATTTAATATAAGTAGAATGATGATAAAAAGAATGAGGCAAATAAAACTACGCTTTGAGCGAGAACGATTCAAATGTATGATCATATTAGATACAAAAAAACTACGTTGTATTCTAATTACAATAAAGTTTTTAGTTTCTGTTACATATAAATTAAACAAAACGTATGGAGCATGAAAGGTATAATTCTCATCTTTGTGTTACTCTTGAGAATATGTGTGTTAATTGGATCTTATACTCTTTTGCTTCCGTTTATGCTTATATGCGTCTAATCTGGTGTATGAGAAAAACTAGTGTGCTTGTCGCTTCCGTTTAAAACATGCATGATGACACCAAGAGTGACAAAGAAATGCTTCATTTACTTTCTTTTTTCTCTCAAAAAATTACCTGTTCTTTTCTAGGATCAAGTAGAAGCTTTCTTTTTAATAATGATTATTTTCTAATTTATTTAACAAAAGAGTAAGACTTCATTTTCTATTTTTATTGAAGTCTTAAAATAGAATCAAAGATTGAAATTAATGAGAATATAATTAAGATACTGGAAACACAATAACTGATATTCAATTGTATCATACATTATTATATAGTCTTCTTTGAAATGCAATGTAACCACGAAAATATTCGCTTAGTCTACTAAGATTTACTTTCATATTTTATTTAAATTTCAGTGTTTTTTTCTCTCTAAATATGTCATATCAAAAGAAAAATCAGCAATCAAACAAAGAGAATATATAACAACAAAAAAAAAAGAAGAAAATCAATTATCGAAAGACAATTGCGTTATTTTAAACATATACAAGAAGAAGAATAACAAAAAAAAAGAATTTAAATGTTAACTATATGCACTATCTGACAAATGTTATGTTTTTTCTTTAAATCTAAGAATTAAATTGCTTTAAATATTCATTCGATTTTTTCAGTTGTATCATCATCACTTTCTAAAAGGACGACTTCATTCACAGTAGTAGCTGGTTTGGAAGTTTGATTGGAATCTGATGTAGCTAGAACGATATTGATAATGAAAAAAAACAAAAGAGATTTACGAAATTAAACATACTAGGCTTTTGAATATCAGGAGTTAGACCAAGTTCATAGGCATACTGAAGCATTTTTCCATAATCAAGACTTTGTTGATCTTCAGCTGACATTGTTCGAAAAAAATCTAAATAGAGTTGTTGAAGTTGTGGAAGTTGAGCCATAGCTGCTGATGTTAATTGATTTTGTTGTAAACGTTGTGCAGCTAATTGACGGGCATCGGGTAAACGTTTTAAGTTTTCATATTCTTCCAATGCTACAAGAAAAAACAATATAAAAAAAAGAAAAGTAGATAATTTATTTGATTTACCTTTACGTCGTTCTTCTTCACTAAGACCTTCATCCAGTTTATTCTCTAATAATGAATCATGTGAATGATACGAATGTATCCAACGATTATGATCATATAAAAGATCAAGTAATAAATGATCTTTTGGTATTGAATAATTAAGATCTGTATTTGTTATTGAACGTGCTTCGGGTAATTGTTCAGGTGTAAATTTATATAATTCTTTGATATCATTTTCAGTAAAATGACGATCTAATTGATGATCATCAATAACACTAAAATATAGAAATAGTAAAAAAAAGAAATTCTCTTCTGATTTTTTACCGTTGAGATAAAGATTGTTTAACAACTTGTCGTTGATAGATTTTTTCTTCCATTGTTCCTTGTGCCAAAAATCGATAGATATAAACAGGTTTCTTTTGACCAAAACGATACGATCGAAATATGGCTTGAGTATCATGACTAAGAAAAACAAAACCCAAACGATAATCAAAATATCTTTTAAATATATATTATCATTCAACTTGAATTAGTGATATTGTTACAAAACTATCCGAAGTCGATTAAATCTTAAAATATTTCCACGACGTTTAATATGCTCGAATATCTGCTGCAATCTTTAATAATCATTAAACCGATCTAATAGTCTGTAAATCGTGAATTTAAGTTTGAATTCAATACATGTCTCACCTTACATAAATAAGAACATGTAAAAGAAAACACTACAATAAAAATTATAATAAACATCATACAAATGTCTCGAATATTTTATATCATAAAAAATATTTGCTTAAGTACGTTATGAATTTACTGAATCATTCGGTTTACTGCCTCTTCGCCAATAGGACATTCGCCATTGGCGAAAGTTTAGGCGCTATTTGGCGTAAGTCTGGTGGATTTTCGCCGACTGTAATAACTCAAGATTAGTGTAAACTGCATGTGACAAATTAACCTAGTATTATCCGAATAAGTATGCTATAGTCTAAACCCCTTAACATGGCTGGCAGGAGCTATTCTTATACATATGTAATCACGTAATGACTCTGACAAAATTCGAGAATACCAACCATTTATTTTCACAATTCGATATTTCTTTTAATAGCCGATTACAGGGTCTCCGATTAAGGGAGCTGGGGGGGTCTAACCCCCCGCAAAATTCGAAAAATTGGTTGTCTTTCTGCCAAAATTTTTAAAGTTTTGCTGAAAACTTGGTCAGAAACCTGGTTTTTATGCTGTTTTCGCCATTTTTCCACCAGAAACTCCAATAAAAACACCTTTTTCGGCCAAAATTTCGCAGAAAGTGTATAGCTTAAGTATTTTATACGTTATATGCGTCAGAAAGCTATATGACGGCACTTTCTGCCAAATTTTATCCTCCCGCACTTTTGAAAACAATTGGAAAGCCTGGCCGATTATTTAACTACAATATTCTAGACTTTTGTTAAACCATAAAAATCTTATATATCTCTCTTTTCTATAATACTAAATTCATTTCGACTAGAATTTACCTTGGATTCCAACTTGCATCAAATACAATAACACGATTACTACCAACTAAATTGATTCCAATGCCACCGGCTAATGTTGATATAAGAAATAATCTTCCACGTAAATTAGATTCATCATTAAATGCTTTAGCATAACGTTTTCTCGCTACTACATCGGTTTGACCATCCATTCGAAAATAATCTTGATCACGTATCCATTCTGTTGGTTGTGGTATATATTCATATAAATGCTTATTACTATCATTTGAAGAAAGTATTTGACGTAATTGTCTTTGTGCTTCACATTTTTTTTGATATTCTTCTTGATTTTTTGTTTGTAAATAATATAAAAAACGTTCAATATAATTTAATGTATATAAACTACGTGAAAAAACAAGAATTTTATCACCGATTTCAGCACACTTATCAAGTATTGATTTTAATAAAAGAATTTTTCCACCTAATTCAATATCAAATTCACTTTCATCTGGTAACATATCCAAGAATGGAAACCAGAATTGTTCACGCATTTCTTTCATCCATGGATCATCCGTATTTTCCTGTTCATCATCGTCATCATCATCATTGTTATTTGATCCATTTGTAGGTGTATTATCATTACCAGTATCGAATATATCTAAATTTAAATTATTACCATTGGATGCTTTTGATGCATGTTTTTTTTCTTTCGTTGCTGCTGTTCGACTACGTGTTCGATAATTTTTAACTATTTCAACTTTATCATCATCATCTTCATCACTTGCTTTAGATTTTGCATCTGAATCTACTTCTTGAATTATTTCATCATCATCGTCTTCATCATCATGATCAAATGAACATGATTGAACTGTTGTTACAGAAGAACCATTCGATGATTTTGAAGTAGTACGTTTTTGTGATTTAGAATTTTCATTATGATTTGTAGGCACATCCATTTCTTCATCATCATCACCAACATTATCGATTAAAAAACCACTAAAATTTTTTTTAGACTCTGCCTAGAAAAAAAAAGAAAAATTCATAAGTCCCTTTCAACATAACGAGTTAATAAATAAATCTTACGAAGGAACTACCCGGAGTGTCAAAAAGCTTTTGAGTTGATATTTTGCCCACAGGTAGGGGATACATAGACTAGACAAAAGCCTAAAAGAATATGGGCCCAAGTTGGTGTTTGACTGAGATGTCGACTATTTATTGTATTTGTCCCATAGGGTTGCATTTGTGCAGTAAAATCAAAGTTTCGAGTTTGGGTCTGAAACTTTGTCTATACTAAGACCTCAATCACACAAACTTGTTTATAAAGGTTCAGAAATTTCGGAGACACTCTCTTTGATATATAAGTATGTTAGCATAGAGACGCTTTCTTGTGAATATTAAGTTTCACATGAATATTTTGACGGACTTATATCTCGAAGATAATCTGTCTAAAATTTCTGAAACTTTGTAAACAAGCTTGTCTAATTGAGATCTAAGTGTGGACAAAGTTTCAAACCTAAATTCGAAACTTTGATTTTAGCCCACAAATACAACCCTATAGGACAAATACAATAAATAGTCGATATCTCAGCCAGACACTAACTTGGACACATATTCTTTTAGACTTTTTCTAGTCTATGCATCCCCTACTTGTGGGCAAAATATCAACTCAAAAGCTTTTTGACATCTCGGGTAGTTCTCTCGTTAGATTTAATTTTACTTTACCTTTTTTCCATTTGTATTTGTTTTTTTCATATTCTTTTTTTTCTTTTTCTTAATTTCTTCCATTTCTTCATCTTCATCGGTAAACATCACTTCTAATTCACCATCATCAATTAAATCATCATCATTATTTAATCGTTTCTTCCAATGATCGATAAAATGTGGATAAAGTAAAAATGGATGACTAAAAAAAGGAAAATAATATATATTCATATTTAATAATTCTTTTTTATTCTTCTTACGTCCAAATCTTTTGTAAATATTGATAATCAGCAAATAATCTCGCTGATTTAAAATCTTTTTTTAATGCTAATACATTTTGTTGTTGTTGTAGTTTATGATTACCTTGTTGTTTTAAATATAAATCATATAATGTCGATTGTAAATCACTTAAACGTATATTAATTATATATTCAAATTTTGGTGGTAAATAATCTTTCAATAATGAATAATCTTTTCGATCGATAAAACCCGTTAATAATTCATGTAAAACACAGGCACGTCGTTTCATTAATCGAACATCATCTTCATTTGAATCACGATGTTGACCATTTTGAATTGGATTCACGAAACGATTGACATATTCTTGTTGACTACCAAGTAACTTTGGTTTTATAAATGATACCATACAATAACTAAATAAAATAAGAAAAGAATTTTTTCAGTTTTATTTAATTTTCAAATATTACTATTCAATGAGATTATTTTGTAATGGTGTACCAGTTAAAACAATACGACGAGATGTTTTGATTTTTGATATACATTTAGCAAGAGCTGTTTGAGCATTTTTTAATATATGTCCTTCATCAGCAACTAAATATAAGAAAAAAATTGAGTTTCATAATCATAGGTTTTAGTAAAATCTTCCATATTTGAAATCGAGCTCACAAAATAATGATTGTCCTACATTTATATCAGTTCTTCAATTTTTTTTATCTCTTTACCCTGTAACAAATGAAACTAAAGAATGATAATAACTATCTGCGATATAATATACTCTAATTTGCATTGATAATCTTCATAATTTTTACTCAAGGGGAAACAACTAGATTCTATAGCTTCACAATCCCATAGAATCAGCTGTTTTTAATACTATACTCTCGATATTCTATATTTATTTGTAGTAAATACAATCAATTATCTAATAACTAAAATTCTTTAATTACCAATAATATCTGGTCCAGGATCAACAAGACATTTATATGCTTGTGCTTTAGTTTTTTTATTTTTTAAACCAAAACCACTTGCTAATCTTCGATACATTTCATAACCCATTATCATAACACCACCATGTTCATACCAATAATTTAAATGTGTAAGACGTAGATTTGGTTTTATTGTTGTTAACTGATAATGATCAACAGGTGGTTCAACATCATTTAACCAATATTCAAATTCATTTGACCAATTTAATGCTATAAATAAAACAAAAATAATAATAATAGAAATAGTGGTCAAGGTAAGTGTGCTCCAAATTCGGAGTCTACGGATATCTAAGTTTTCGAGAAAAACTCTACCTAAAAACTGTAATCATCTCCCATGTCTTCAAAATCGCCAAGGTTTGTACGATTAATGGCGATTTTTAAAAAAATCGGCGATTATATCGCCAATAAGAAATGATTATTTTGTCGAAATCAATACGAATGAAGCCTTTTCGAAAAAAAAATCGGGAAAAGTCCTTAATTTTGGCGATTTTATTGCGATAGATCTCACAATTAATCGGGTGGTAAACCGCGATAAAATCGTCGATTTTCCCCTAATTTTGATGACATGGGTCGTAAACTTCAACTTTGGAGCTCACTTAACTTGACCAGAAATAGTTTATTTAGTTTTTTTTGCTTACCTGCATTAATTGGACATAGTACAAGACAATGACGAACATTTGTTATTTTATCATAATTAAATATTGTATGAATAAAACTAATAACTTGTAAAGTTTTTCCTAAACCCATACAATGTGCTAAAATACATCCATTACCATCATGTTTTTTATTTTTTATTGCATCAATAGATTCAAATACATTATTCCATAAAAATCTTATTCCATCACATTGATGCGGTTTTAACTGTTGAACTAATTTTGATGATACTTCAATTAATGGTTCATTTGTTTTTTCGTCTAATTCAAGAATTAAACGTCGATTTGAATTATTTATTTTTTCATTTTCAATAGTAGATTTATATGTTGATGATACCAGTACATTATCATTATATTCTTTTTGTTTTTCAGCAATACGTTTTCGACGTTCTAATTCAGCTTCAACAGCTTGTTTTGTTTGAGTATCTAATTCTTTATCATCGATAATTTTTCGAATATTTTTTCGACCAAGATGACCATTTTTTCCTTTTGTTGGAGAACTATCTTCGTCTTCTTCTTCTTGAAGTTCAGTTTTAATCTTTCGAGTATTATTATGTTTATCTTCATTATCATTTTCAACTTCATAACTTTCAGTTGTTCCACCATCATCATCATCATCATTATACTTCTTCTTCTTCTTCTTATTGCTATTATTACTAATTGTACTATGATTTGTATTATCATCATCATCACTAAATTGAAATGAACATTTTTTGTTTCCATTTAAATTATTTTTTCCACTTTCATTATGATTGGTATTATTATTTTTATCAATTACTGTAGTCGAACGTATATTTGTTGTTACAATTGAACTTTTCTTTTCTTCGGCTTTCGATTTGATTTGTTTTAATATAGTTGAACGTTCATTGGAAACAGGTTTTTTACGTCGTTGACGAGTTTTTTTTGTAACTATTTCATCACTACCATTTGAATCATCAGAAGATGATGATGATGAACGTTGAATTTGAATTCGAGTCGATACTGGAGGAACAGATGTTGGCGGAGATTTTTTTTCCAAAGTTTTAGATACTGGTGCTGATACTTGTTGTTTTGATACAGTAGTCACATTTCTACGACTTGTTGAACACTATAAATACAAGGAGAAAAAACTGATTTATTACTCTAAATCATAGAATTTTATTCATAATAAATCGGTCAAATTTGCAATTTACGGATGTCTAACGAGGGAACCTCCCGAGGTATCAAAAGGCTTTTGAGTCGAAATTTTAGCCCACAGGTAGGGGATACATAGACTAGAAAAAGCCTAAAAGGATATATGCCCAAGTTGGTGTCTAGCTGAGATATTGACTATTTATTGTATTAGTCCTATAGGGTTCTATTTGTGCAGTAAAATCAAAGTTTCGAATTTAGGCCTGAAACTTTGTCCATACTAAGACCCCAATCAGACAAGCTTGCTTACAAAGTTTCAGAAAATTTAGACAGATTATATCCGAGATCTGAATCCGTTAAAATATTCATGTGAGACCTAATATCCATAAACAAGCGTCTTTATGCTAAAATACTTGTATCTCAGAGACAGTCTTTCAGAAATTTCTGAAACTTTGTAAACAAGCTTGTCTGATTGAGGTCTTAGTGTGAACAAAGTTTCAAGCCTAAATTCGAAACTTTGATTTTACTGCACAAATACAACCCTATAGGACAAATACAATAAATAGTCGACATCTCAGTCAAACACCATCTTAAGCACATATTCTTTTAGGCTTTTTCTAGTCTATGCATCCCCTATTTGTGGGCAAAAGGTCAACTCAAAAGCTTTTTCGAACCTCGGGAGGTTCCCTCGTAAGTTGTCGCGAAAACCTGTAATCATCTGTTTTTGATTGCTCTAATAGATACTCTGGACTGTGCTGAGTCGATGGGTTATGCTGAAGAAAAAAAAATCATACAGTTATAAGCTGCAATTGGTAGAAAAACTTCAAACTTGGAGCTCATTTAACTTGACCCTTATTTCGGAAAGATTCTATCTTCTAAGAGTTCTCATTGAATAATCTAGAAATGATAAATAAATAAAATAATACCACTGGAATATCAAGATCATCATTAGATGATGATGACGATGACTGTGCAAAATTTCTTTTTAATGCAATTTTGGTTTTCTTTTTCAAAGGTGATGTATCAGAATTAGATGATGAATGTAATGAACGTTTGGAATTATTAAGAGACATTAATCTATAACAATCTGACGATAAAATTGTATGGCCTGAAATAAAAGAAAACATTTTGATCGTTTTACATGATTATATGATAACAAAAAATTTGTTTTTCACTAAATGAATTTTTATTATTTCAATTAATATACAAGATCAAACAGAAAAAAAAAGTGAAAAGAAAAAAACAAACGAAAAAAGAAAAAGAACAAGGTGAAATAAACCCGTTTAGTATCATTTTCTTCATAAACATAATGTAATAAAATCATACATTTGTTATGAAAAGAAAAGATATAAACTGAAAGACTATTGAACAACAAAAAGAAATGTATACTACAGAAAACATGTAATAATCAAGATCATATTCGAGAAAAACGAACAAATGAATTTTTTATTAAAAATGAAAAAGAAAAAGTATTCAAGTCGTAAAAAAAAGACATGTATATGGAACTGTTTTATTTTACCTTTTGTTGTTTGATTTATGTTATTACAGGACAATGAGGTAAATTAGGTGATGAAGATGATGGAGGAGGATCAATACCATCATTTGATATATCTTCAATACAATTATCATAATTAATAATTGAATTATTATTTAAAATTGTATTTGTTTCATATGTTTTATTAATTGATGTAAATAATGATTCATTATCATTATTTTCCATTACTTCTCGTAAAACTTCAACTTCGTCGAGTGTTGTACCATTACCTCCAAGAATATTCATTGAATTATCTATTGATGTATCTGATGTCGCTGTTGTCATAGTTGCATCATCATTTGAATTTTGATTAAATTCTGTTGATAAGATTTCATCTTTTTTTGATTGTAATTTCATTGAAAAATCATCCTCAAATGTTGTTGTTGTTATTGTTGTTTCATTAGTTTTACGTGTTTGTGATAATATACCATTTTGTCCAATATAACGTGATATTTGTTCGCAATCAATGTCATTATTTCCATTAATTGTTTGAGATAAATTACCTAATGTATATAAATCGTCATCTTCCGCATCAATTGCACGTAATTTTCGTTTGCCTTTTGTTTTAGTACCATTTGTTGATTGAGTACTTATGAAAGATGATGTTGATTCATGTTTCGAAAGTTTTTTTGAACGTGTTGATTTTCGTACGTTGGTTAAATCATTTGTAGCTATAACAAATTAATCAAAATGTTAGTCACTATTCTATGAATACATAGATACATATGTAAACAAATGATAACATAAGGCAAGGTTGATTTTTGATACTTTACATAAAATATGTATTTAACCTTGAAATGTCGTATACTATCAAATATGTGAATAAAAAAAAGTACCTGAATGGAGAAGTTTTACAGAACAGATACGTCTTAATGTTGTAATGAAAATTTTCTTAAAATAAATCTCATTGATTTTACAAGTTTTGAAATTTTACTTTTTTCAATGATCTGAAAGACTTAGAGTAAAATCGATCGAGATTATAATTTATTGTTTTTTGCTTATTTCTATCATCTCGTAACATACTAGGATTCTTTGTTATAATCCTATGAACTCTTTCTATAGGTTTTACTAGACTTGGAAGGATTCTTTTGAAAACTACGCATTTCAAATTAATTAAAATTACTCATGAATAATTCCACACTATTGTAATTTTAGTAAAATATTATTTCATGCTTCAAACTAACTATACTTTTCCATTTCATATAGACCCTTTAAATTTTAAATTTAACAGAATGTCTTAGATTACTATAACTTCTTTGTTTATTTTTTTTGTACTATTATTGAATCAAATAATCATAATTGGACATACTGTTACTCTCAAGGCAATAACTTAATGACATATTGCATAAGAATAAAAACTTATTATCATAAGAATCTAAAATAGTCTATACTATATTATTAATATTCGCATGACGCATAGTTGAATCATTAAATATGATTGTATGGCATCTTGATTTTATTTTTCATGCGAAATTTTCTATAGGCTAATAATTCCAACAATACTTCATTTTAAAAACTTTTTTTTTATATTAACACTCAATAGAAGAAAAAGAAATTTTTTACACATGGTTTCATCGTCTGATTACAAAACATAAAATAGAATATTATTATATTTGAAGCATAAATTTGAATATAGAATTTTTTTCCTTCTTCTAAAAATAAATATAATTCAGTCGAGTGAATACTCTCTTACTCTGACAACTAATTTCTATTGAGACAATATTTCTCATGTCGAATATATTTTATGAATTTCACAGAAAAGTTGTTTTTTTTTTTGAATTGATCGTTTCACTTTAAATCTTGCAATATTGTGCCTTATGGGTTTTTTGTTATGTAGAAAAAGAAAATATACAAAAATGACCTTCATACATACTTTCATGCTGAGTTGATGGCACGTGTACTCTAGGTTTACGGGTTTTTTTTCCATCGGAATTAATTGTTGATAATTTCTTTCGACCTCTTTTTTTCTTACGACCACGTCTTGATTTTGCTAAAAATAAAACAAATAAAAACATATAAAAATAGATCTTATCTTACGAGTATTCCAAGTTTCAGGCATGTAACATGCAGCTTCATCTAATGGAATACGTTTTAGACGGATAGTTGGTCGACAAAGTTTTTCTTGACCATCAACTTCATTATCTGTTTGATTTTGTAAATCTGGTGGCGTCGGTAATGATCGTTCTGGTGCTTGTTGAGTCGAAAGAACAGCTTCATCTATATCATTTAATCTATCAAAATGATATTCAGCAGATACGGATAATTCATCTTCACTTGGACTATTTTCTAAAAAAAAACAAACAACAAAAAAAAGAGATGAAATTTTATGACAAAAAAAAATAATTTGTATAATTACGATTTAATATATGTTCAAGTTCGATTAATTTATCTGTAATTATAGCATATAATTGAGTATCATTGGAAATATTTTGTGGTAACCAAGAATATTTAAATTCTCTTAACCAACATAATACTTCATTTGTATTCGTTGTCATATGTTTATTGTTGAAGAACAGGTAATGTAGAATACAAATTCAAATGTGTTAAATTGATATATATTTATATTAGTTTAATGCTAAGCAGAACACCAAAAAGGTAAGATAATTACATGTAGTATTAACTGCTTTCTTTTTTGTTTCTTTTGCTTGTTCTTTGTCTCGTCGGTTTGGCCAGTCAGGCAATTAGTTTATCTGTTTATTATCGTCATCATTCATTCAATTTAAAGAAAAGCGATGAATTATTTAAACCAATCAGATAAATTTTAAACTAGAGGGCGTTAAATAATGTGATTTATTATTATATGTTAAATTATTTTATTAATAATATTAAATACTATTCTATAAATAGATTGAAATTATATTCTTTCATTGAATGATAAGATAATACGAAGTGTGAAAAAATGTCGGTAAGTGTTGATAGAAAATCATACTCCACGACTATGTTTATCTGATTCTTTTTATTTGAATATATCAATATAAAGAGGCTGATAAGAACATATTTTTAACAACATTCATATCTTGAAAATAAATATTCTCTAGAAAAAAATCTTAATACTGTACTCAGAGTCAGTCAATCCAATCAGCAAACTTCGGTGTTGTATCATTTCCATTTCGAACGGATTATCTTTTAATATCGGAAATATACAGAGTGGGCTAAAAGTCACTTTACCTAAGAAAAAAAACTGAAATACCTCCATTACGGCTTGAGAAAACGAGCTGATTTTTTTGACCAATGATAGAGATATGTT